TGTTGATATTGATTGCATTGAATCTGTAGACCTTTTTGGACAGTATGGACATTTTAACAGTGTCAAATCTTCCAATCCATGAACACAGGCTATCTTTTCATTTATTTGTGTCGTCTTCAGTTTCTTTCATCAGTGCTTTATAGTTTTGTGTCTTAAGTATTTTATTTTTTGTGACTATTGTCAATGGGATTGTTCTCTTGACTTTTTTGGATAGTTTCTTGTTAGTGTATTAAAATGAGACTGATTTTTGTGTGTTGTTTTTTTTTTAATCCTGCAACTTTACTGTATTTGTTTATTCAGATGGTTTTTTGGTGGAGTCTTTAGGGTTTTCTATATATGATATTATGTTATCAGCAAACAGTGACAGTTTCACTTCTTCCTTTCCTATTTGGATACCTTTTATTTCTTTCTCTTGCCTAATCGCTCTGGCAAGGACTTTTAATATGATGTTGAATAAAAGTGGAGAGAGTGGGCGTCCTTGTCTTTTTCCAGATGTTAGAGGGAAAGCTTTCAGTTTTTCACCATTGAGTATAATGTTAGCCATGGTCTTGTGGTATGTGGCCTTTATTGTGTTGAGGTACATTACTTCTGTGCCAAATTTGGTAGGAGTTTTTATCATAGAAGGATATTGAATTTTGTTACATGGATTTTCTGCATCTAATGAGATGATCAATGGTTTTTGTCCTTCATTCTCTTAATGTGATATGTCATGTATTGATTTGCCTATACTGAACCATCCTTACATCCCAGGGATAAATCCCACTTGGTCATGTGGATGATCCTGCTAATGTGTTGTCAAATTTGGTTTGCTAGTATTTTGTTGAGGATTTTTGCATCTATGTTTATCAAGGATACAATTTTCTTTCCTTGTAGTGTCCTTGTCTGGCTTTGGTATCAGGGTAATCCTGGCCTCATAAAAAGAATTTAGAAGTATTCTCTTTTTTTTTTTTTTGAAGAATTTGAGAAGGACTGGTATTAGTTCTTCTTTAGATGTTTGGTAGAATTCAGTAGTGAAGCTCCACCCCAGGTTCTGGGCTTTTCTTTGATGGAAAACTTTTTATTACTGATTTAATCTCCTTACTTTTTATTGGTCTGTTCAGGTTTTTCTATTTCTTTGTGATTCAGCCTTGGCAGGTTATATTGTCTAGGAATTTTTCCATTCCTTCTAGGTTATCCAATTTGTTGGCATATAATTATTCATAGTAGTCTCATGATCCTTTATATTTCTGTGGTATCAGTTGCAGTGTCTCCTCTTTGATTTCTGATTTTATTTGAGTCTTCCTTTAGTCTGGCTAAAGATTGTTGATTTTTTTGTTTGTTTTAGAGACACCCAGGCTGGGGTACAGTGGCACAGTCGGAGCTCACTGTAACCTCAAAGTCCTGGACTCAAGTGATCTTCCCACCTCAGCCTCCTGAGTGGCTAGCAATACAGACGCATGCCACCACACCTGGCTAATGTTTTAATTTTTTGTGGAGACAAGATCTTGCTATGTTGTCCAGGCTGGTCATGAACTCTTGGCCTCAAGCAATCCTCCTGCCTCCCAAAGGGGCTGGAGTTACAGGCATGAGCCACCATGTCCAGCCAGATTTTATTAGGTCATTAAATATGAAATGTCCTATTTTGAATCAAAAGTGTAGTTTATTTATATTTCAAACAAGAAGTAGTCCAATTAATCAAAGTACGCACCTAAACTATTAACACAGTTTTGCCGTCTTAACGGTAACTTGTTTATGCCAGCAGCAAAGAAGCCTGGAGAGCAAGTGGCTATCAAATTGCCAAAGGTGTTTTCCACAGCTTGTTGAGAATCGAATATTTTTAAGTGTACAGTTTAGTACTGTTAACTATATTTGCGTTTTTGTACAATATATCTTTAGACCATTTTTATCTTCCAAAACTTAAAATCTATGCTCATTGAACAAATCCTCCCTTCCCTTTTCTTCCAGTCCCTGGCAACCTTTTCCTTTCTTTTAAACAGACTTAATTGTTCCAGCATCTAGCTCTACTCTGGAATTTTGCTTCCCTCTGGTAGAAATTGTTGAAGATAGGAAATTTGAATTGTCAATTTTAATACCTTTTCTCCAGAATAACACTCTCAGCACTTCAGCCCTTCCTAATGTTGTCAAACCTGAGGTCAAGATAAGGGCCCTTAAGTTAGTACATTGAGCACATCTGCAGCTTCAGGTCTCTGCAGGGGAGGAAGCAAGAGGACTCCGCCCCTGACTTGTCTTTCTCACTATGTAAGACAGCAAAGTGGCCAGCCCATTGGTGCAGATGAAGGACATGTTATCTTAGAGAAACAGCTCTTACCAAAAAGTCCTCATTTTCTGTTGGGTAATCATTGCATGACACTTTGACCGCACATCCATATTGCCATGAAATGCTAGGTTGCCTTTTAAGCTATGTTAGTATTCCTTTCTGCTACCTAGCTTTTACAAGTTATTTCTGGATCTGAATATATTAGTCTGTTTAAGTTGTCATTTTTTAAATTTTTCCATGCATTTCATGCCATCTTCTGGAGCGGTTTTTCTCAAAGGTGATAATCTTGAGAAAGTTGACAAAGGATGGTACACTGGATTTTTTTTTAATAGACTTTGTTTTTAAAGTGGTTTTAGGTTCACAGCAAAATTGAACAAAAAGTACATGGAGTTCCTATGTACCGCGCCCTCCCACCCCCGCCCCCGCAACACACCGAGCCTTCCCCACTATCAATATACTGCTCCAGAGTGGTACATTTGTTTGTAACAATGAGCCTATATTGACACATCAGCACCCAAAGTCCGTAGTTTATGTTTAGGCTAATTCTTGGTGTTGTACCTTTTATGGGTTTGACAAATGTGTAATGACAAGTGCTATTACAGTATCATAGAGAGTAGTTTCACTGCCCTAAAACTCCTCTTCGCTCTGCCTGTTCCTCTCTCCCTTCCCCTAGTCCCTGGCAACCACTGATCTTTTTACTGTCTCCATGATGTCATATAGTTGGAATCATACAGTATGTAGCCTTTGTAAGATTGGCATCTTTAACTTAGTAACAGGCGTTTAAGGTTCTTCCATGTCTTTTCATGGCTTAACAGCACATTTCTTTTTAGCTCTGAAGAATATTCCATTGTCTTGATGTTTTAGTGCACTGGGATTTTATAATTGGTTTTGCATGTGTCTATCACTGATTTAAACACGCTCTATAGTCAGTGTGAGACAAGCACAGAAGTGGGAATTGGGAGCCCTAGATTCTAGGCTGGTCTTTGCCTTTCATTTTGGCTACGGTTTTCTCATCTGTAAAAGGAGGGTGTTCCAACGAGGTGTTTTCTAATCTAGAGCTCCTGATCATTTTCGGTATTTTTTTCTATTACTTGTAAAATTTTAACCACTAGGAAATATCAAGTTCTCTAAGAGATGTAAGTACCTGCCTGAAAAATTTTAGAAATTTAGCAGTCACTCTGAATTGTATAATATCTATATACTTTTTTTAAAGAGACAGAGTCTTGCTATGTTGCCTGGGCTAGAGTACAGCAGCTATTCACTGGCACCATTATGGTGCACCAGAGCCTGAAACGCCTAGCCTCAAGAAATCCTCTTGCCTCAGCTTCCCAAGTAGTTGGGACTACAGGCACACATCACTGTGCCTGGCTCTGTAGTTTTTTAAGCTTTAATTTCAGTATCTTTACTGAACTCCATATATGAGACCTTGACATTTTTTTATAAGTATTGGTTTCAGAAAAGATTAATAAGTTTTGATGAATAAAAATCATAATTTCTTTCTGTGCTGCTCTGGGACTATAAACCTCAGGATAGTTCAGAGTAGAATAAGTATTTGCTCTATCAGTGTGGTTCAGTTTCATAATGAAGTTATGGAACGTAAAACAAGCTATGCCTAGCATCCCTGACATTGTACAAGTATTTGATTCCTAGAACTACCCTGAAACTTCTGGTTTTATAGCTTCACTCTGGGTGGTAGTACAGCCAGGTAATACAGTTTTGAGAAAGGCTATTCTGTCATGAAACTACAAAAACTGACAGTGGTGAGCCACCGAGACCTAAACTTAGGTCTAAATTGAGAATATGCCCTGACTATAAATCCTTCACCCTATAGTTCTTGAGATTTTCTGGACTACTTAGTACTATTGATTCAATCAAAATGACCTATGACTAGCTTATTAAGTGTACTTTCATATCAATAAGGTCATTGTTAAAAACTGCTGTCATATCAGTTTTGAGAAATCTATCTGTAATCAATGAGATATTTATGTAGCCCCATTACCCGGATACTGTCCTTCCATACTGGTTGGTATTAATTCCAAAGGAAATCATCTCTTAAGACCCTCACAAACACTGACTGTTTGCAAGAGGTTTTCTCTTATAGGAGACATGTGCTTTTCTTTTCCTGGTTGGGGGCTGCTGAGCTCCCGGTCGTATAGAATAGAGTGATTCCTGATTCCGTTTACACTTAATCTTTTTTTATTTCCTAGAGACTTAGGAATTGGGACTTCTCCATCTAGGACAGTTTAGAGTGTACTTTCCATGTAAGAGTTAAGAGTGTACTTTTTGTCAAACACTAAAGAGTTATAGGTGGATACCTGATTTTTTTGGTTTTGATTTTGGGTACAGAATCTCAGTTTCTAGCCATGTTAAATTGTAATATAAGAAAGACTTGTTATTTCCATGAATAACAACTTAGAATCACCTTAATATCCAGGTGTGCCCCTTTCTGACCAAAAAGAGAAACTCAAGAGGGCTAAATTGCTAGGTTTTAGGCTGGGTTTTTTTTGGTTTTTTTTTTTTTTGGCATGGAATAACCTATATGTTGGTATTAACTGAGTTTTTGCTGTTTTCTCCGTTTTATTAAGATACAGATGTGGAAGGAACGCTCTTTAGGAATAATCTTAGACATTTAAAAAAATGGTCTGCAGGTTTTTCTAAGGGAAAAAAATTACTTAATATTTAGTTAAAAGCTTTCCAAAGTCCTTTTCTTTGATGCTTTCATATGCTGTTCTCTTTTGCTTAGGCCTTTGAACTGGCCACAGGTGACTATTTGTTTGAACCTCATTCAGGGGAAGAATACACTCGAGATGAAGGTAAGTCCCCTTGACCACCAAGGATGTTTGTGTGTGGTAGTTAACATCCCACATGTGGCTGCTGACTTCATTTGTTAGTACTGAAGAGCCTTAGTCTTACTGGTGTGCAAAGTATATATAAATCCCAAAAAAGATAGAAATATAAAAGGTATTTTGTACTAGGCATTTAGATATACTAGATAGTTTATGAAAGATATTAAAGAGCTCTATGATGGTATTAAAGAAAAGGCCACAGTTGGTTAAACTAAAACTTCCATCTGCCAGGCAGTTTTTTCTTCAACATCAGTTCCTTTCTGTATGTATCAATGATTCATTCTTTATCCAGTTTGAATTTACTTGCTTATCAACTTATTGCTTAGTTATGCTTTCAACTTCATTTGGAAGTCAATAATTTTAATATGCAAACACTGCTTGAATGCAGAGACTATATCTTATTTATATAAATTTTGCAACATTTAGCATTCTTTTTCCTTTTTCTGAAAATTAAAGCTATAATATTTTCCTTTTTAAATGATACTGACATTTAGAATTCATTTTAAAACAAAGTACAATAGATGTACATTTTGTGGCAGTCAGTGGGAAAGCCCGAGGTGTCAGTTACCGCATCTGAGTGGCTGTGGGAACAGACAGCCGTATGTGTGTGGTTTTTCTGTCACGGTGGCATCCACGTAACTAGATGAGTTAATAATTTGAATGAAAAAAATGTTTTACCGTTTCTGTACAGTTGAGGCAGCTTTTGTTTTGTTTGTAGGATTAATGAGGATTATTTTGAAAGATCACTAGCAGCGTACCTTCCCAATGTGGAGAATATGTTCTTTTCTTTCCTTGCTTTCCTTGAGTCTTTGGAAAATCAGGTTTTGTGCTTTGTGGAATGAAGAGTGTTTTCTCTCAAAAATGTGGTCCCATGGGGTATTAATAGGTAATGTTAGTAGGGTGTGCTAATATTCCTCACAAATACTGTTTGGAAAATGGTATGCTAGCTAATTCCTGTAATTGCCTATTTTGATAGGTATAGTTTAGACATGTTTCGTATATATATATAAGCCCCATGTTAGAAGATATTATAATTACTTCCCATGTACGTACTTGGTTTTCCCTATTCTCTGCTTGCTGTCTTTCTGAGTTTTTGAGGTTATAGGCTTACAGTGTTTTAGAAATGCCCTACTATATTTGTTTGGAAGGCAATTAATTTTTTTCTCTATACTTTCCTAGATTCTCCATAAATATTAGTGTATGGTACAGAACACATTTAGTGGCTAGATTTGTATTGAATAGGACCTTATGCTACCAAACCTGAAAATTGAAATATATATGAAAAGTCTCAAATAAGGGGACGTGGGAGAACTGTCTTCTCTAGAGATTTAAATCCTAATTTAATCCTTCCTATACCAGTCAATACTAGTAGTCCTTAGAGCAAACCTCAACCTCCCTGTTCTACTGTACTGCCGTTTGGCCTGTAGGAGCAGGAATAAGCAAACCCTTACCTCCTGACAAATGTACGCGTGGTTTGTTACAAGTCATAGTAGTAGTGGAGCCTGAGTAGAGTGTCCTCTATTGTTGACATGCCATAGCCCTAACTACTGGAATAATAATAATTTTGCTTATGAAGTATATCGATCCTGTAATTAATTGATAAGCCAGAGTTAGGTTGCTACAATTAAATGTAAAATAACGATTTCAGGGGTATTCCATGATATAAGAAAAATATTAAAAGAACCAATATTATACTTGGAAATTTATAGTTAGAGAAGCTATAGTCTCATTCATTATTCCTTGGTATTCTCATTTTGGTTGTTGTTAATGGTAATTTATTTATATGAAGACATTTATTTGCAGGTCCTGCCTAAAATTGGCAGAAATTTCTTGGCATCCAGGTACTTGTTACCAAACCATAAATTTAGTCAAAACTGCTGAAAGGTTGTAGTGAAGTCACGAATGTAAAGTCCTATTAAAATTACATCACTGGCTCCTTTACATGACAAAGAGATACAAGCTGGGAGATTCACAAATTCCCAGATAATATGGATGTCTCTAGCACGTTATTTCCCCTGTGAGATACGTAATTGGAAATATTTAAATGACTCCTTTTAACCTTAATGATTCTCTAACTACATTATTAAAGTTTTTTTTTTTAATAAAGCTTTTTTAATGGTTAGAAGCCATTATTTTTGAAAAACCTCTTCATTTTCTTAGTTGATAGAATCACCAGCAGAGTGAAAAAGGCAGAAGAGCTGCCTGGAGGTGTGGGTACTGGCTGGCCCGGGCTTCCCTCCTGACTAAGAGACTCACTTCCCTGGCAGTGCTCACAGTCCACATCCATGCTGTGACAGTTATAAGTCATTATATGACTCGCACATTTTGGTGGCTTACAGATAGTTAAGTAGCTATACTTTTAAATGTTTGTGTTAATTTTTACTTTTTAAAAAGTGATTTTAGGAAAAAAGCTCCAGACAAGATATGATAAGGTGTTGGTTTACATTTGAGTTCTAGCTTATATTAGCCCTAAAGCTTCAAGTAGGCCATTTATTCTAAGGTTCCATTTTCTCATCTTTAAAAAGGGTTATTAATCTTTGGCCTGTTTTACAGAGTGATTATAAAAACTCAGTCATTTGTGAATGCTTTGTCATGAACATTCTTATGTAAGAGGATACTTTTATTGCTTGAAGCCCAGAACAGTATTATAAATAAATAACAGTTCTAGAGTGACTACAGTATATTGGGATGTTTTTTGCCTTACCCAGAGAACACATCTAAACCCAGATATATAGACAAAATAGAAGTTGGCCGGGCACGGTGGCTCACGCCTGTAATCCTAGCTGTCTGGGAGGCCTAGGCAGGCGGATTGTTTGAGCTCAGGAGTTTGCGACAAGCCTGAGCAAGAGCGAGACCCCGTCTCTACTAAAAATAGAAAGAAATTATCTGGACAACTAAAAATATATAGAAAAAATTAGCTGGGCATGGTGGCGCATGCCTGTGGTCCCAGCTACTCAGGAGGCTGAGGCAGTAGGATTGCTTGAGCCCAGGAGTTTGAGGTTGCTGTGAGCTAGGCTAATGCCACGGCATTCACTCTAGCCAGGGCAACAGAGTGAGACTCTGTCTCAGAAAAAAAAAAAAAAAGAAGAAGTAAAGGTGTAAATAAGCCTCCATAATCCAAAATGGAACTTGCCAGCTACCATCAGGTGACCAACCACCTGAAATAACGCTTGGCCTTCCCAGTCTTCCCTTGAGTATCCTGGTTTTATTTGTAGTTACTTTTAAACAGCTAGTCCTTGAAAAAGCTATTCATAGAAAAACCTCTTTTACAGCTTGTCCTTGATCCTGTTCTTACCCTTCTATTTTAGACCACATTGTGCACATCATATAGCTGATAGGCAGAATTCCAAGACACTTTGCCCTCAGTGGGAAATATTCACAGGACTTTTTCAATCGCAGAGGTAATATTGTTAACATGAGTTTTCAGCTAGGCTCCAGAGATACAACTTCAGGAAGCAGAGCATTCACACCAAGATTATTTTTAGTTATCACTGAAGCCCCTCTGGAGTGGACACCTGATTTTTTATGATTTTGTGGATTCTCCATTAGTCAGATAGAGTCCTCCTTTTCCCATTTAGGACAGAAAGCAAGCCTGAGATGCTTTACAAAGAGATGTGCATGCTGCTCTTTCTACGATTGTCTAACGCTGCGTTTGTTACTCCTGTTATGTATGTCTTTTTTTCCCTCCTCTTGAAATGTTTGAAACACACAGATCACATTGCATTGATCATAGAACTTCTGGGGAAGGTGCCTCGCAAGCTCATTGTGGCAGGAAAATATTCCAAGGAATTTTTCACCAAAAAAGGTAAAATAAATGTGTTTGTTCCCAGACATTAAGGATGCAAAAGTGTTGAAAAATAAAGAGGTAAGTACATGTTCCCAACATCCTCCAGGATACCTACCTTGAATGTTGAAATGTGACTTAGCAGAGAGGTCAAAGAGTGTGGTCAGGAGCAGAGACTGGAGCCCAGACTGTCAAATCCTGCCTGCCTCACTAGCTGTGTAACCTTTGACACAAGCTCACTGTGCCTCAATTTGTTCATTTCTAAATGGGGATGATAAGAAGTTATATTTCGTATTAAATTAGTTAATATGTGTATAGTGTCTGACACATGGTTGATTACTTCAACTATAGCACTTCTGAAAATTGGGCAAATTTTTGCAAATAGCATTAGGTCTAAGAACTGCCTCTACCAAAGGGCAAGTAGTTTAATTTAAGCTTCTTATGGACAAGGACTACTTCTCACTCATCTTTGTATCCCAGTGACACCTAATAGTCATCAATCACTCAAAACATACTAGTCATACAAAGTAACTTCACACTTTTCAGTTTTATAACTTTATGTTATTATTTACTAATGAAAGGAGCAAAGATAAAACTCCCACTTCAACCATTTGATTGGAGTAATGTATTTCTTATGCATTCCAAATAAAACTGAAATGTGAAAACATGACTGCGAAGGACCTAGAAAACTGGCCTTTTTTTCCACATTGTGCCATGGTTCCACTTTTCCTCACAACCTCTACACAAGTGTGAAGAAAAATTAATTTTCTCAGTTCTTAACAGGAGCATCCTCAGAACCATTGCGCTTAAACCTTTTTTAGAGCAAGAAAATGGTGAAGTGCTTCATAAGAGTTCCTCCTTGAGTGCAAAGTCATGTTAAGGCACGCATGTTTACCAAGTAGCTAATTTAATAGGCACTCAAAGCCCACTGGAGAGACTTCAGATAAGTGTCATATACGAAAAAAAAATTTAAGCATCATTTGCCTTAATAAGCCATTCATAATAGGCCATATTTTAAAAATTGTCCCTTTAAAGAAGCAATTAGGTTACTACTTCAGAATAGTAGAGTTTGATACTGCCATGTTTGAAAACTGTATAGGGTTTGTTCTTTTAGTTCTGTTGCTTTTATACATGTTTGACATATTAGTTCTTTATTTTTAAATTAGTGCCTCATTTTGAAGCAACATTTACTAGACTATTGAGGGGGGAGAAAACAGTACAAGCAAATTATTCTCAATATGTGGTGCTAGACTGCCTCTGCACATCATATGAGACCATGTTGAGTCAGGCATTTAATCGTATTTTATAGAATACCTAGTTCCTGACTGGCATTCTCAGTTTGACTAGGACAAAAAAAATCCTGGAATGGGGAGACAACAAATTACCTTAAATTTTTAGAGCCTTATGAAAAATAGAGGGTACTTCTTTCTGAGGAATACAGCAGAAAAGAAGTGCTTTGTGAATGGAGGATTAGACTCTGATTTACAAAATTTGATTCCCTATAGACTACCTGGATTAGTTCCTGGATTTCCACAATAGGATCTTGTCACTTGTCAGTGTTAGTCAAATTTTTTTTTTTATACTGTCTTCACTGCAGGTGACCTGAAACATATCACGAAGCTGAAACCTTGGGGCCTTTTTGAGGTTCTAGTGGAGAAGTATGAGTGGTCTCAGGAAGAGGCAGCTGGCTTCACAGATTTCTTACTGCCCATGTTGGAGCTGATCCCTGAGAAGAGAGCCACTGCCGCCGAGTGTCTTAGGCACCCTTGGCTCAACTCCTAAGCCCCTGCCCAGCACCGCAGCAGAGATCGCACACTGACCCTCTAACCATCCCCCCTCCAAGCATTTTCCTCTTCCCTTTTCAGGGTGAAGCTCTTCCTTCAGGGTTTCTAGATTTTTTTTTAATCCAACATGTTCATTTGGGTTTGCTTACTTGACCATGTGGAAGTCCCCACAGCCACTGGGCATCCTAGGTGAATTTGGCCTTGGCTGGGCTCTGCCAAAGACTAATGAACTAAAATGTGAAACAGCCTCTCACCCTGTACCCTTGCCTTTCCACTAGGACATCCTTTAAATTATAAGCATCCTTTTTAAAAAGAGCTATGAAGATCTATGAGCCCATCCTTTTATTCACTGACTCTAAGAGTCAAATTTTCTAATGCATATCCTATTGCCAGCATAAGGATGAGGAGGGGAAAGGGTGTTAATTCTTTGTACAGCAGAGACATTAAACTTGCTGTATCCAGGCTGCATCGTCTTCCTGGATTGTTTCTGTTCTCTGTGTTCACATTTTTTCCTGCAACTTCTAAGCTACTATCTTTTTTAATGAGCTGTATAAACACCGAATTTGGGGTACCATTTTATCACTGTTCAAAGCACTGTCGAATTCCTTTAATAACTTTAAGATCCTTGAATCTTCAGTCTGATTTTTAATGTAAACAAAAATGGAACCATTGACTAGTAATTTCTTGAGAACCTCAGGTGTTCTGTAAACAGTCCTTTCGTATGTGTCTTCCGTTACCCTAAGAGCACAATTATTTTGATGGGCTGTTTTGTTTTGTTTTTTGTTTTTTTAATCCCTGGCTGGCACTTTACTCATTGCACTTGAGTTTTTTGCCCCATAACTAAAGAATCAGAATGACTCTAGAAAAGAGATCTGGGTTTCAGAGCTTTCCCATTTAAGAATATGTCCTGGGGTTCTGATTCTTTTCCAAACAGTCCCTGCTTTTATTTACAGCTTTTATTTTACCTTTCCCAAAATTCTGGCCTTGAAGCAATTTCCCTCTGTGGCTTTGCCTTTCTCATTTTCTCAGAGATTTGGGGTCTTTAATGAAACCCCACATTAAAAAAACCAAGGGGAGGGGTGGAATGGCACTTTTTTGGTTGATTTTGTTTTGGTTGGTTTGTTTTTAAGATTAGCCATTCTCTGCTGCTATTTCCTTGTATAATGTAAGTTTTTAACTGCAATTTTGAGATGATTGAGATGTACTTGAGACTTTTTTTTAATGAGAAAAGGCTTCGTGAATTTTATTTTAGAATGGGCCTCTCCTAGACTTGCTGTAGACATTATATATTCCTCATAATATTGAAAAGCAAAAAAGGGGCAGGATTGGGGTCACAGCTGCTTGTTCAGCATGGACCAAGTGAGCCTTGGGGATGACAGCATTCTCCAGAAGCAGCTACTGGACTCTAATTTACAGAAAGCCAAGGAGGTGCAACTTGAGGCTCTGCTGGCAAGCTACCGGTGAGACTGTTGGGCAGCCACCTTTCTATACGGGAGATTGGAATCTAGTTTGTCACTTAGCCACCAACAATGACAAAGGAAAAGTGGTGCCATTATGCAGTCCATTTAACTCATGAGCATGTTACCCTGAGTAACGGGCCAGCCATTCATCGGATCCTGGATTGGGTACTCCCGAAATCAGACATGTTTCTGTAGAAAGAATGTTAAGCCTAGGCTGTCTATGCACCTATCAAGAATAAAGAGAATAGATTTTATCGAACAACGGCAGGGAAATCCTTCAGCAATTCTAATCCACTTTGGGTTTTCAGCTGTATTTATATCTAAAGCAATAGACTAGAACTGAATTCTCTTCTACATTGTAAAATCACAACTGTGGGATTACAGGAATTCTGGTGATGATATTAAGGTGAAATAACCAAAAAACACCAACAAACAAAAGGCCCTATTTTAACAATTGACTTGATAGAAAATTTTAATAGGAGAGAGAACCTATAACTTTATTTTGAAAATGTTTCCCCACCAAATAAGGGCTTTTCCTCTAAAGGAGCCAGATGAACTCCAAGATGTAGAAGAGGCAGCTGTAAGACTTGATCTTCCAGTTACCCCAAGTCCCTTTATTGAGCTTGATCATAATACTGTCAAATCGCCATGATCTCACTAAAGGATTTTGCTGTCAGAAATAAAACCCCGAATACGTTTTTATTCTTTCTACTGAGTGCATTGTCTGTTTTCTTTGTAAATGCAGTACAATAAACAAATTATTTAATAACTTACATGTGTCCAGAAGGTTTTTACTCATTTGTTGCCCAAGTTGGTCTGCCCCAGCAGTTGGAGGAAGGGATTGGGGGTTGAGTATGCTTTTTGAACTGAAAGATGCAGTGAAACTACAAAGTGAACACTTGCCATTTTGTGGGGTTTGTAGTTTTGTTACTAGTTCTGGATTGGGATTGGGGTGGAATTGAAGTACATTTGGGGTTTTTTTCCTCAAATTATAAATGCAGTGTGTGCAAAATGCAGATGACTTGGAAATGTAAGCTCTTAAGGCACTGATATTGTGAACACTATTATGCACAGGTTTTCATACACTTGTCTTATTTCTCTTTTTTTTTTGAGACAGAGTCTCACTCTTTTGCCCTGCCGGGCTAGAGTGCCGTGGCATCAGGCTAGCTCACAACAACCTCAAACTCCTGGGCTCAAGCGATCCTCCTGCCTCAGCCTCCCGGGTAGCTGGGACTACGGGCTTCCGCCACCATGCCCGGCTAGTTTTTTCTGTATATTTTTAGTTGTCCAGCTAATTTCTTTCTATTTTTTAGTAGAGACGGGGTCTCACTCTTGCTCATGCTGGTCTTGAACTCCTGACCTTGAGCAGTCCTCCCGCCTCGGCCTCCCAGAGTGCTAGGATCACAGGCATGAGCCACCACACCCGGCCTTATTTATTTCTTAGAATAAATTCTTGGAATATCCGAGCCAGAGAGTAAGCACATTTTTAAGGCTTTTAATAAGTATAGCCTAACTCACCTAGAGAACAATTGGACTATTTTCGTGTGTACCAATAATGTTCAAGTGGGCCTGTTGTAATCTCATTTTGTTCCTAATAGCTAGTTTGCCCAAAAAAGGGGAGTATCATGTTTAAATTTTCATATTGGATTACTTGTGAGGTCAGAGACTTGTTTCATGGGTTCTCTTTGCCATTTGTATTTTTTGGTTATTTGCCAAAATTACCCAGCTTTCTTTTGGAGTACTTCCCAATTTGCAGACTTGGTCAGTATTTGTTACGTATTAAAGGTAATGAATTTTTGTCATTTTTGCTTCATATATTGTGCAATTTTTAATTTGCTTTTCATTTTTATTTGTGGTGTTCTAGTGTTATTCATAGAAAGTCTTTCCCCACCTACCCTTGAACTACATAAACTGTTCTAGTTGATTTGTTTTAGTTGTGTAATACTTAAGATACGCAGTGTCTTCATAGTGTTGACCAAAATGCAGCCTATTGGGATTCATCAAATCAGTACGTTCACCAGACTGACTGACATAGGCAGGCCCTCTAAGCCTTGTGTTAAATGTATGGACCTTGAATTCCCAGCGTTTGGGGAAACCTTAGTGCTCTTGTAGGAGAGCTTCTAGCTATCTCAGAAGAACCAACAGACTGAGATGGAGTCACAACCCCACCTTTAATGCTTAATTTGCTGGCCCTGAGTGTCCACTGGGAAACCATTTAGCTGCTCCATGGCAGGCCCAGGTTATAAATGGACTTCATTACCGCCCATTCTTTTACTTTTGAAACCCGTGCAGTCTTCCAGTTCAGCCTTATGAGGAAAGTGCTTTGCTCTTAGACAACTGTATCACAGACAGTTGATTTACTGATAGTAGAATCTGAACTTAACGTTTGCTTAAAAGTAAGAATATTAATATAGAAAGATGGCTATAAATCTTGAGGCTTACTGCCAAGTTTTTGTGTCGCTGAAGACATTTTTAAAAGTTGAGTTTAAAAAACTACATGTATAATTCGCATTTAAGTCTATACAGGAACTAATCTATACGAAATCCTGTGATACCAGAGAAATACCCCAGTTAAAAAGCCAAACTATTTGAGATAGTGTTAAGTGTTTAGAAATTTTAACCAAGGAATTAAGCAAGTTTACTTTAGTACCTAGTTTATAGACTGCACCATTGATTGTAAAGGGAGGAGGGTTTCTCATACATAGATGTTCAATTTGATTTTATATTCTTCCAAGTTCTCTTTTTATCATAATCTCTCCCTTTTGTCCTTAATTCAGATCTAGTTTTTGCCTGTTTTAATACAGTAACAAGACTTGCCCTCCAAAATAGCAGAACTGGACTATTTACAGAAGCCCTTTTGCTGCCTACAAGTTGTGCCACTAAGACATTGTTTTTGCATTGGTTGCTTTGGATTCACTAGGTAAGAGGAGGGAGTGTGGTTGGTGTTGAAAATAAATTTAGTGGCCCCTACTATAAATCCTCTGAGGATAGATAACAATAGTGGGATGAGTTTTCAGGGTTGGAGTCCTGCTTCAGTCTTCATCGACTTACGAAACAAATACGTATCCATGTATCCATCAGCATATAAAGCTGCCAGAATCTAATCTTTGTTCCAGGAGTGGATTCTGATAAATCTCCATTTCAGCAGAAAATTAATTATAAATAACTATGAAAAGCAACTTTTTCTTTTGAGACAGGGTCTAACCTTGCTGCTCAGGCTGGAATGCAGTGGCCTGATTATAACTCACTGCAGCGTCCAACTCCTGGGCTCAGGTGATCCTCCTGCCTCAGCCTCCTGAGTAGCTGTGACTTCCAGCTAAATTTTTTTATTATTTTTTGTAGAGACAGGGTCTTACTATGTTGCCAATGGGTCTCAAATTCCTGGCCTCCCAAAGTGCTGGGATTACAGGCATGAGTTACCACCCCCAGCCAAAAAACAACTTTTCACTCTGTTGCCCAGGCTATAGTGCAGTGGCATCATGGTAGCTCACTGCAACCTCAAACTCCTGGGTTCAAGTGAGCCTCCTGCCTCAGCCTCCCAAGTAGCTAGGGGTACAGGCCTATGCCACCACGCCGTGCTAATTTTTCTATTTTTTTGTAGAGACGGTCTTGCTCAGGCTGGTCTCGAACTCCTGACCTCAAGCAATCCTCCCACCTTGGCCCTCCAGAGGCATGAGCTAGCGCGCCTGGCCGGAAACTTTTGAAAGGGCCCCAGTGATTCCCACTTCCTCATAGTCATTCATGTAATGCACTTGCCTTAAATGTGGGCTGGGCTTTGTGAGTGTCCTAACAGAATAGGGCAAAAGTAATGTCGCTTGAGAGACAGTTACAAAGGGGCTGTGGCTTCTGTGTGTGCACACTCTCTTGTTCAATCTTGGCTCTTTTGGAACCGTTGTTCTAAGGAAGCAAGCTGCCATATGAGTAGTCCTATGGAGAGGCCAACAGCCAGCAAAGAACTGAAACCCTCAGTCCCAACAACCTGTGAGAAATAATCCTGCAAACGACTGAGCTTGGAAATGGACACAACAAAATTGCAGCCTTATGAGAAACCTTGAGGCAAAGACACTTAGCCCTACCGGGATTCCCGATTCACAGAAACTGATACATATATGTTGTCTTAAGCCATTGAGTTCTGGGGTGATTTGTCATGCAGCAATAGGTAACTAATACAGCGTTGTAAAGTAATGAAAGCATTTAAGATATCCTCCAAGCCCACATTTTAGCTGTAAACGACTGGTCCTTCCTCTCTTGACCATATCTGCTCAGGGCTAGTCATTATCAGTGAAACGCCACAAGCAACTCTATACCCTAGCCCAGGCAGAGGCCAGCCAGAAGTGAGAAAGGAATGAGGTGACTTGGTAAGAGGAGTGCTGATTTTGTTGATTTTTGTTCTGTATACTTTCAAAGATGAATGAGATTTGAGATGCCTTTAAGAATTTAAAGGTAAAATGACTTTAAAAGAGCTGATAAACAGTTACTAGGTCTCTGAACAAAAATCATTACTGTTGTTAGGTTGAATATTGAGTTTCTTTGAAGATAAAACAAAAAACCAGAAATGCTGAGTCATTTGACTGACAAACAGATTTGCAGGTCCCTCCCAGCACTGGTTGTTACCAAACATCAACTCCCGCTGCTCCTGGCAAGAGCAAGGTGTGGGCTGCAGTGAGGGCTGAAGCCCCAGCTCACCCTGAGTAGCTTCTCTGGCCCCTCTAGTTGCCATTTCAGAGAGAAATGTTTTGAGGGTAGAGACTTTTAGAAACTTTTCTTGTACCTCTAAAAAGTAAGTTGTGAGAAATAACCAAACAAATATAGATAGAAAAGTCACTAAGCTACAGAATGAATTTGTCAAATTCTGTCATTCATCAAGCTTGCATAAAGAAGATAGCTGACTATGAATTAAATACTTTTATCAGCAAAAGAAAATATGAATGTGATCATTCTTGCAAAACAGTTACTGTGAATCAAGTGACAAGGTCAAATCTCCTAACAGTTTCGCACCACCAACGATTTAACTGTGACAATGCTGGGATGCTCATTCCCAGCCAATCTGAACTTAAGAGAAAACAGCGCACTGGGCATGTTGTCCAGGTGCATTGGCCAAACACACACCGACAGCCAGGGATAAGAAAACTGTTCCCACGTCGTTGCTGCTTGATCGAGCAACAAGATTCATTACAGTTTTGTTCAGCATTTACCCTCCGTCCACCTGTAACAGCACAGTGCACCCAGGTAGTTTCTATACTGAGTAACTGTACGTGGAAACAGACTGGAAAAAACACCTGCTCCTCAGGATCATTCACTGCAGACAGTCAACCAAACTGTTTCTATGCATCATCCTCCAGGCAAGGACAGCCTGAAGGACCTGTCTTTATCTTGGCTTTTGCTGTGATGAAATACTTAGTTCCCCTCTGGAACTTGGCAGAAGACTCACTATTTAGTAGCCAGCCCTCCGTATCTGCAGGTTCTACATCCACAGATTCAACCAACCACAAATGAAAATACTTGGGAAAAAATTACAATAAAATAATACAGTATAACCACTTATTTATATAGCATTTACATTGTATTAGGTATTATAAGAAATCTAGAGGTGATTCAAAGTATATGGTAAGATACGCATAGGTTTTATGAAAATACTACACATTTTGTGTTTCAGGGACTTGAGCATCCGTGGATCTTGCTGTCTGAGGGTGGTCCTGGAACCAATCCCCCACAGGTACTGGGGGATAAGTATGCCAAATCCAATTTTTGTGTTTTTTTGAGGAGAAGG